CAAATACTCTCTCTAAGTCAATTACACTATCATGTTTAGATAAACATATAATGGCCCAAGAATCTTCTAATATGGATCAATCCAAATCGGATAATGTTACTGACAATAAGCCTAATAGAAGCCTCATATCTATGGCACGACCGTCACCCCAGCGATGTCATCCTCTGCACCAACAATCCGCATCCACCTCATCTCTCCCAACCTCACGACCCTCGTCCAGTCTTGGGCAGTCACCAAACATAACCCCATCAAACCTCACTTCTGACACTCTACACCTTCCCACTCGATCGGTGTCGCCAACCCGGCCTTGGACCCCCTCGCGGGGTTCGGAATGGTCACGCCCACATGCCCCTTCTGTATCAAGTGTAAATTATGAGCCTCCGGAAATCAATTGTAGCCCAAGACCTGGAACTCCAAGCTCGAAGTATGGCGGAAGCCCCCGACGGCCACTGCCGCCTGCCCCGTTGTTTGCTGGGCTACCAGCATCATCAGCAGGAGAAACGAGCATTGACATTGCTGATGGAGGTGACGATAGTGAGGACCCCTTTGTGGTAGGTGGGAGAACAATACATCAAAGAAGTAACACCCGCTCAAGTTTCAAATCATACAATTCATATGCAACTGAGTCCACAGTTGTTACAGATGAAAAGGACGCCATTAGTAAAGTTAACCTCGATGATGACGAGGATGAGGGATCCGACTTTAATGTTCACTATGGGCCTGCGCCAACTGGACGTCAAGAGCGCAGAGGTGTGCGTAAGGCACAGATGACGACGAAGGAAGTCCGCCTTATCAATGGAGAGCTTATCTTAGAATGCAAAATCCCAACAATTTTGCATAGCTTCCTTCCCCGTCGAGATGACCGTGAATTCACTCATATGAGGTATACAGCTGTCACCTGTGACCCTGATGATTTTACGGTAAAGGGGTTTAAACTGCGACAAAACATTGGCAGCACAATGCGCGAAACCGAGTTGTTTGTCTGCGTGACCATGTACAACGAGAATGAAATCAACTTCACACGTACGATGCACGGCATCATGCGAAATATCTCACACTTTTGTTCCAGAACCAAATCACGAACATGGGGCAAGGATGGTTGGCAGAAAATTGTTGTGTGTATTATTGCGGATGGGAGACAAAAGGTGCATCCGCGGACATTGAACGCCCTTGCAGCCATGGGTGTTTATCAAGATGGAATTGCAAAGAACGTCGTCAATCAGAAACCGGTAAATGCGCATGTGTATGAATACACTTCTCAAGTGTCCTTGGATCCCGATCTTAAATTCAAGGGCGCAGAGAAGGGAATCATGCCTTGCCAGATCATCTTTTGTATGAAGGAACGAAATGAGAAGAAACTCAATTCTCACAGGTGGTTCTTCAATGCGTTCGGACGCGCTCTGAATCCCAACATCTGTATTCTGCTCGATGTCGGCACGAAACCCGAACCTACTGCCCTTTATCATCTCTGGAAAGCCTTTGATCAAGACTCGAACGTCGCAGGAGCCGCTGGGGAGATTAAAGCCGGTAAGGGCAAGGGCTGCCTCGGCTTGTTCAACCCTCTCGTTGCATCCCAAAACTTTGAATACAAGATGTCGAATATCCTCGATAAGCCTCTCGAGTCTGTGTTTGGATACATTACTGTGCTACCTGGTGCGTTGAGTGCATACCGATACCATGCACTGCAGAATGATAGTACTGGCCATGGGCCCCTGAGTATGTACTTCAAGGGTGAGATGCTTCACGGAAAAAACGCGGATGTGTTCACTGCCAACATGTACCTGGCGGAAGATCGGATTCTGTGCTGGGAGTTGGTGGCCAAGCGAGAGGAGCAGTGGGTTTTGAAGTTTGTGAAAAGTGCTGTTGGGGAGACTGACGTTCCAGGTATGATTTGATTTTCCTTGATTGTGAGATATAGAGTCCTTTTTGGCTTGATGCTAACTTGAATTTTCGGTGTAGATACTGTACCTGAGTTTATCTCGCAGCGAAGACGATGGCTTAACGGTGCCTTCTTTGCGGCTGTGTATTCCCTTATTCATTTCCGGCAAATTTGGCGGACAGACCACACGATTACAAGGAAGATTCTCCTTCACATCGAGTTTCTGTATCAATTTGTCTCCTTGGCTTTTACGTTCTTTTCTTTGGTGAGTAGCTAACACCTCCAGCAAAATACTTCAAGATCCTAGCGTTGATATTTCAGTAAATTAACAATAATTCTCTCTCATCTAGGCGAATTTCTATCTTACTTTTTATTTCATTGCTGGTGCCCTGTCAGACCCCACGGTGGACCCCTTTGGACATAATATTGGAAAATACATATTCACAATACTAAGATATACCTGTGTGCTTCTCATTTGCCTTCAATTCGTCTTGTCAATGGGAAATCGTCCCCAGGGGTATGTAATCTAGATCCTTTCAAAACCCTTTACCACCACTCCTGTTGACTAACACTTCACTCTAGTGCCAAAAAAATGTTCCTCTCTGGCATGATCATCTACTGCATAATAATGATGTACACTGTCTTCTCTGCCTTATACATGGTTGTCATGCAGCTGAAAACGAGCAAAGAAATGATTAAAGATAGTCTGTCTCTGGGCAACAACACTTTCACCTACATCATCGTCTCCACACTTTCAACAGTCGGTCTCTACTTCTTTATGTCCTTCCTCTATCTAGACCCATGGCACATGTTCACCTCATCTATTCAATACTTTGCACTGCTGCCCAGTTACATTTGTACGCTACAAATCTATGCTTTCTGCAACACTCACGACGTTACCTGGGGCACCAAGGGTGATAACGTTATCCATACTGACCTTGGAACGGCGCGTACTACCGGTTCTTCCACCGTCGAGTTGGAAATGCCATCGGAACAACTCGATATTGACAGCGGATACGACGAGTCGCTCCGCAATCTCCGCGACAGACTCGAAGTGACCCCGCCAGAGCCATCCGAGGCGCAGATGCAGGAAGACTACTACCGCGCCGTGCGCACGTATATGGTGTCTGTCTGGTTTATAGCTAATGCGATCCTTGCCATGGCCGTGTCAGAGGCGTTCACTGAAAAGTCAGTGGGCAATAATGCCTATTTGGCCTTCGTTCTGTGGAGCGTGGCAGCGTTGGCGGTTTTCAGAGCGGTAGGTTCAACAGCGTTTGCGATTCTCAATGTTGTTCATCGGGTTATGGAGGGGAAGATGAAGTTTGCCGCTGCGGGGGGCACAGGGTATGGGTACGGAAGTTACGTTGGTTCTTCGAGTGGTGGGAGTTCGGGTACTCGGTCCAGCGGGGCTGGGAGCTCTCTGGGTCTTTCCTCAGGTGGGAGGAATATCGGGGAGAAGGTTAGTGATTGGGCGAGTGAGACGAGGTGGGCTGTTAAAAGAACGGCGGGGAAGTTGAGGTTTTGGAGGTAGAGAACTTTTGTACTTTTTGATGGTACTTTTGAACTTCTGTTTTAATGTATATTTGTTTTTTTGGGTTTGGTGGTGATCTTTTAGTTTTGATTTGGTGGTCATGCTTGATGTTGATGAATAATTGTATGTACTGCTGCTCCTTATATCTTCCTGTTTTTGTTGGTTTTTATGATCTGTTATATTGTCTTGGAGTGTAAGACTTTTTATCTCTTGTATCTTATTGCTGTGAATTGATAAGGTTCTCTTGTCTGCATCTAATATTAAAGACTTAAAGGGAGACTTTCTGTGGTATTTTTTGGTCTCGTCCTCATCAATTGACGTGCATACATTACGGGATCAAGTTTCTGGGGTTAGAGCATAGGACTAGCATGGATGACTAGTATTAATTTGAATGGGAAAAAGACTTTGCTTGTTGATTGTGTGAGTATATAGTCATATGCGATAGTAAAATTCAGACAAGAGGAATTAAAATGGGGTAACTAATTGCTAACAACCCACAGTTTGCAAGATAATTGTCCCAACACAAATCTCCCTAAAAATCCAAATAGATATAGTCTCACAAATAACGGCATATAAAACAATAACCCTTTCCATCAGTTGATCTCAGCAACATGCAACATGCCTTAGACATTTTCTGTTCTCAGTGTCCACCATCGAACCCCTCTCTCCCCCTCCCATAATACCAGCCCCTTCAGCACTCCACAGTACAGCTCATCCACAAGTGTGCTCGCCCTCTTATGTTACTCTGCGCAATCCCGGCAAAGATCCGCGACAACTTTCATCTTTTTGATAGTGTTCGGACACTCCACGGTGTTTGCAAACTGGCCACAAGGCTCAACCTTCACAAACATTTGATGGCCGCAGAAACCTATGATAGTTGTGACCTGACACATGAGAGGTAGATTTCAGTAAAGAAATGTATATGGATTACCTTGAGTGGTGGGGATGACTCGAAGGTGTGTGTGGCTCGATATAAAGGCGATGGGAAGAGAGGTTTTTGTAGTTCCGTGAAATATGTTATGCAGGGTAGCTGGGAGAGATAGATATGAAGAAGCAAAAAAAGGGCAACAACAAGGTATTCGCTTGGCCTGGAGATGGATAAGGTCCAGTTTTGTGTTTTCTTGAAGTTTTAATGAGATGCGCTGAGTTGGAAAATCGAAATAGGCTGGAGCTGGATGGAGAATGAGGGAAATGATGCTTGTCGTAAACAAGAAAACTGAGAGCGAAGAGGAATTATCGTAACTTTTTTTTGGTTCTTCTTTGGGTTTGAATTCATTGGAGGGAGGGAGTGATAAGGAAGGCATAAATTCAGTTTCATTTCGAGGCATTGCAAACGGAGGGATTTGAATGTTAACTTATGATACATCGAAGGCTCCGCTCTGGCAGTTGCCCGAGTTGCTGAAAAATATCAATCGTGTGTAGAAGTGAGAAAAGAGTTGCAGTGTCTGGAGAAATAATGTACATTATTTAAAGAGAGTCAGAAACTAAGGGTATCCTCCAAATTTGTCACAACGAACCTTATTATTAGACAATATCCCTTTCACAAACCCAAAACTATATACATTCTGCTCTTCCACCATCCCAAACCTATTAACTATCCTCCCTCCATCGACTCCGCGCCTTATTCCACGCAGCTTTGTCCTCATCTCCAGCCTTCGCATCCATTCCAATACCCAATCCCCGCTCAACCCACTCCTTCCCTTCCATTTCAGCCAGCCGCGACAATGCCCGCGCAAACGCAAAGCGCTCCTCGTCGCCGTTGAATATGGAACTGGACTTTAGCGCAGACATGGACAGGCCTAGGTCGTCCATAAGATGGCGCATAGCGTCAGGAAGGTACTCAGGAGCTTCGTTGTTGTCTTTTGATGATGACTTATTTTCAGACATGGATTCTTGAACTTCCTCATTGGAGAGGAAGAGATTAGCAGGGGGAACGGCGGTGGTGAGGACGAGTTTTGCCTGTGGTGAATTGGTTAGACAATGATATATGGCAGAGGTGGCAAGACAAGGGACAAAAGAAAAAGTAGAGAAAGTACCCACCCGACTCTCATAAACTGCATCAATAAATGTAATAAACCTCCTCGCCAAATCGCGCTCCCGGATCGTCATCCCAGGTACATCCGTCACAATAAAGGCATCATAACTCCTCATCAGCTCAAGATAATCCGCCGCTCCAGTCGCCCTCCCAATCAACTGCTGGAACGTAAACCGTGCCGCCTTGCCACTTGCCAGAGGAACTTCCACATCCCGTCCCCACACTTGGTGCACTGCGGAGTGAGGAGGGTCATTGGAGAAGTCGCCTAGGTACTCGAACCATTTGTCCGCGTGGTGGTCAGCGGGCATGCCGAGTGGGTGGTGGTAGACACCGGACGGCGGACGGGGGATTTTGCGGTAGTCAGTGGCAGAGTCAAGGTTCAGGACCGTTAGGGAGGTTTTTAGCAGGGTGATGCATGGGATGAAGGATTCACGTTGGATGCCGTTCTTGTACAGGTCATCTGGATGGCGGTTGGAGGTTGTGACGAGGATAACACCGTGGGACATGAGCGATTCGAGGAGTCTGGTTGACATTTTACGTTAGTGTTGGCAGATACAGATACGACATGGACGCGAGAGGGAAAGAAACAGTAACATACCTTCTCAGAATCATCGCATCTGCCACGTCTGTGCACTGAAACTCATCGAAGCAAAGCACGCTAGCCCCCTGCACGATATCGGCTGCGACAAAGGGCACAGCATCAAAATCATTCCCATGTTCCATTTTCATCACATGAAGCCGTTTATGCACGTCCTGCATGAAGTTGTGGAAATGGATGCGCTGCCGTGACGTGATATTTTCCGGCAGGGTGTCAAAGAAAAGGTCCATCAGCATGGTCTTACCGCAGCCAACATCTCCAAACATGTATAGACCCTTTGGCAGATTGGGTGGGATCTGCGTGGTGGCTGCCCGCGGTGGGGTGCGGCTAAAAAGCGAACCAAGGAAGGAGGGTCTTGGTTCCGGATTCTGGAGGGAGGAGATCGTTGGATGGACTACGACTGGTGGTGTGTAGGAGCGGAGAATTTCGTGGAGGTCCTGAAGATGTTGGATGATGTCTATGTAAGAGACAATGTGAGCATATTCGTTTACATGGATTTGATGTTGCGCATTCAATGCATTTGAGAGAATATATACAGAATACACTAAAGGGGGACTCAAATAAGACTAAGAATACAATACCTCTCTGATGAGCATCATCCTTCAATCTTCCTGACTGTACTCGGGCCTCATACTCCTGCATCGGACCGAAAACTGGTTGTTGATCAACACCATCCGCCACGGATGTGACACGCACCTGCTCTATAACCTCAGCAACTCGAGGTGTACTACCTGAAATTGTCGCTACCCGCTGTTGCTGTTGTTGCTGTTGTTGATGTCCGGGGCCCCGTATTCCAATTCCGCTACTAAAGAGCCGCAATGTCGCTGTATAAGGATAAACCCTTTCCTGCCCGCGTCCCAGACGACTCCTACAATCCACACAGGTAAGGCTACCATAATTCCAGCCCCCAACAAGCCTAGAAACAGTGGGAAGCCGAGAACACGGGGCTAGGATCGCATCAGCGATTCGGGTGGGGTGGTGGGAACGTAGCGGGGTTCGCATTCTCGTTGTATTTCACCACAGGGTTCTCTCCCCTCCTCAAAAAAATATTTGGATAATAAATGTACCCCAGGGTATATCCCGTTGCGATATTCGACAAACCGTAGATCGAATTCTAATAATAATACGCCTAACCCATGAGAAATTCCTGACCCGTGCGCCTGAAAATGCGATTGGGTATATCGGGTATTTATGAATCTGCCACAGCAATCGAAGACCTATACTCGTCGCAGCTCCCCGGTTCTCCAGTTCCCCAGCGCCCGTGAAAATGTGCACAAAGAGACGACAGTTAACCGCCAACAAGTGACAATCAAATGAGAGCAATTAGTCGGTCAAAGGCGGAGGACGATAGGAAATTAGTGGACGAGTCCGGCACTTGATGTGTGAGTTACCGAGCCGAGAGAGGAGAAAATGCAGAAAATGTTTAACTACCACGCTATGCAACGGGAGAAAACAAGAAGCAAATGGATAGAACCGGACGACAGGAGCGAACGACAGACACCGGAGTCTGCCAGAGAGATGCGCAAGTGACTGTGTGAAGTTCGGAAGTTGAAGTTGAAGTTCAAGTTGGGATATCGGGGATTGTCACGGGATCTCGGAGTCTGTTTGTGGTTAGCGCGGAGGGGATGCGCAGGAGGTTCAAGGGTTTTGCTTGCGCCGAGGTTTGTGTTTTGTGCCTGAGGATAGGTAAGAAGAGATCATATTCTGTAGATGCAAGGACATATAGGTAACAGGGTGGCAAAAATAGGAGATTAAATTGCCTGTTAATTTACTAGTATTGAGTAGATAGTCAACTAAAATAACTAACTAATTGGCGAAAAAGTCCTTGCAACGCTTATAAAACAAAAGTGGGAGTAACTTCAGAAACATGGTTGGGGAGGACAAGTATGCGGACGAAGTAGATACTAGGAAGATGATATTGGAGAAGAAGCGACAGCCGAAGTTGAAGGCGATGTTTTATTTAGAAAAAAAAGAAAAAAAAAGCTAGAGTTGAAAACGAAAGGATATCCAGCAAAAGTAAAGGAGCAAAATGAGAAAAGATAAGACTCACAAAACACTAGTTGAAATGCAGATTACGATTGAAACTGAGACCGTGATTGGGACTGTGGGAGAGGGTAAATGTTTCAATTGAACAGAAGAAGTGAGGATTAGAGTGTCTTTTTCTTTTGCGGCTAATAGAAAAGGGGGGGGGGGATATAAAAATAAGGTAGCATATGGAAAACAAAGTGGAAGAAGAGTTGAGAAGGAAATGAAAAGAAGAACAAAACAGAATGGGTGCTTATATAACAGAAATAGAAAATGTATGAAAATGATTAAACCAGGAACAATGGATTTGTGTAGCAACAATGTAGGAAGAAAAAGCGGGAGGAAAAATTGGAAGGCTGAGTTAGGGGATTTAGTCCGCGAGGAGCGTTGCGTACTACAGGAAGCTTGGAAAAACAGTAAAGAGGAAAAAAAGGTAGGTGAAATAATATAACTGAGAAAAACGTAAACATAGACAGAAGGAAGCATAGGACAAACACATTGAGGCCGGTTGGTTTCGTAGAAAAAAGACAAAAATATAAATAAAAGGGGAGTCCGAGGCAGGAGAACAACACCCAAAAGGGCTGTGGTAAGTGGGTGATAATAGATGGATAGATAATAGACGCATCCAAAATAGCAAAAAAAAAAAAAAAAAAAAAAAAAAAAAAAAAAAAAACCCTCAAATATCGTCACATTCCCTTCCTTTCAGTGCCATACGTCGATCCATATCCTAGTAATATAGTAGGCCACATAACAAAAGAGATGGAAAATGAATAAAACAGATAACAGATAAAAAGAGATAAAAAGAAGAAAAAAAAAAAAGAAAAAAAATGCCGGAGTGGGAATAACAAGGACGAAGGAAAATGAGACAAACTCTTTACCTTATGTAAGTCCAACATATAGCGTCAGCTTCGCATTCCGCTGCAACGCCGTATCCAAATCATTATCATTCGACAGCCCTACAAATCCATTGCTTGGTTCATCCTTATACTGCAGTTCAATCTCATCGCCAACCTTAAGCCGATCCTTCAGCTTCTCCTTGAGTTGCTGGAAGCTGATATCGTTCGGCACGCGGATGGCTATCAGGTCGTCCTGGAAGAACACCTTGATTTTGATCGCGCCGCCGCTCGAGGTTGTGGAGCCCTGTGTCAACGAGCTGGCTTGTCGGTTCATCATTTGGTTTTGCATATCGGCTCGAATCATGGTGGAGCCGCTGTTGCCTAGTGTGCTGCCGGTACCTCCATTCAATAGGGCTGGTTGCCATGTTGACTGTGCCTGGCGCTGTGAATGTGGCGGAGCCATGCCGCCAGGTGGGTATCCGCCAGTGTGCAGCTGGCCTCTTGACGAATGCCCGGATTCCGGACGTGAAGGGTCCTGGATAGACGATTGCTGAGAGCCATGGGAAAGCCTGTAGTCATCCACTGTAATGTTGGGATCAATTTCGAAGTCGCCTGGTCGGGGAGCAAAGAGTTGACGGACGAGCTGGCAGCGTGAGATATGCGGTGGCATTAACAGTAGCTTTTTAATATATTCATCTAGGTTCTGCCGTCGACCGTTGGTGATTGCATCTGTGACATGTGTTACGGGGCCTGGCATGAAGGGCAACGTTCGGGGCTTCCCCTTGTTGCCTGCCTCCTCTTCGAATTCTCTCAGGAGTGCGATTTGGAAGTCGTAAAAATCGTGATAGTATCTTGACAATTCCCAATACCGCCCATCTTCCATTTTTGCCTCGATGATGAACCAGTATTTATCCTGATCGAAGCAATATCGGGGGATGGACGCGGAAACGGGCACAAGGGCAGGAGGATAATAACCTTGTTGCTGTTGCTGTTGCTGTTGCCGTTGCGGGATTTGCTGGGCGGACTGTCGGAACTGTTGATTTTGGTATTGGTGGTTTTGTGAGTGTGCTCCTGAATTACGGCTCTGTTGTTGATACTATTTATTATCATAGAATAACTAATTAGTTTCGCAGAAATAAAGTTCCTACTCCCGTTCCAATCGCAAACTTACCGGATCACTGCCATTCAACGTCATCCTGCCCATCTCTGCTGCAGCACCCTGTGCGCCGCTCTCGAGTTTGCCTAAACTTATAGAGCTATTCTTATATTCGGCCGTCATTTTCTTCCACTCTTCAACGCGTGGGACACCAGCGCGCCTGACAGCCTCGTGCGGGTCCGGCACGGCCATACCCGTTGTCATATCTCGTATCTCGATAAAGGAAACAGGAATCAGGCCTGGTCCACCAAGGCGACCGATAGGTTTCGCAACAAACCACTCGGGATTGGACTGGGCAATGACGATAATGGCCTCACCGGCCTTTGCATCCAGCTCATCCGGGCGTTCCGCGTTGAAGTCATATTGAACAATGCCATACACCATGGCCCCAGACCCTTTCCCAAGGGAAGACATCCTGGCACGAGCAGCTTGTTTGGTGGTATTGGTCGAGTCCGACCGTCCGTGACCGTAGGCGGCGGCTTGTTGTGAGCTGCGATCGGAAAACCCAGAGTCGTGTGGTTCATGCATGTAATCTTCGAGATTCCCCGCCGAGCCACCACTGTTACGCTCGTTTTTGCCGATAACCTCGAAAAATGAGACAGGGACGAGACCACGCGCGCTTGGGATCAGAGGGTTGCACGCCTCGTACCAGTCTGTGTCGTCTTCTCTGCTTATGACATGGAAAAAGTCACCTTTGGTAAAGGCCAGCTCCTGAGTATTTCCAGGTTCGGGGGTGTGGTCAAATAGGGCTTTGATCACCTAGATGTGGGGACATGGTTTGGTGTTAGTGGCGTTGGTATATCGATCCCCGCTCTCTGTAGAATGATTTCCTTTCTTTTCTTTCTTTCTTGCTTCCTTTCCTTCTTGCTTGCTTTCTTTCTTTCTTGCTTTCATTCATTTCTGTGAGTTGGTTGCAACATCACAGGCAAACAAATGTGATAGATAAGAGGCGACAAACATAAAAATAAAACAAATAAATAAAAAAAATAAAATAAAATTAATTAAGGGCAACTTATGATGAGTAATCAACAACAAACTGAAATCAAAAAAAAAAAATAAAAATAAAAATAAAAATTAAAAAAAATAAAAAATAAAAAATAAAAAATAAAAAATAAAAAAAAATCTCACCTTCTTTGGCGGAAGAATAGCAATTGCGGACTTTGGTGTGATAGAGATATGTTGTGGTTTTGGCTCTTTCTCGCCTTTGAGAGAGCGCCGGATGGCCTGTTCAAGTTGATGAGGAGCAATTTTTAACGTTAGTGATGGCAAAAGAACCGTTAGTCCGACCACAAGCGACACACGAGGTCGCCTGCTGGTCAGTCAGATGAGAAGAAGAGGATCCAGAAAGAAAACAACCTCATGATAACTGTATTAAAGCATGGCGGAAGAACCGAGATGACAGGATTCGAGTTTCATACCTTCATGTTTGTTTGCGGTCACGCCAGGATGGAGAAACAATCTCACTTCTCTGGCTTTCTGGATTGGGAAGCTGATCTTTTTTGACTACTATTATTACTATGGATAAGGTTCTTGTTTTCTGTTCCTAAAGAAATGGAGAACAGGAAGGGGAGAGAAGGGGAGAGAAGGGGAGAGGGGGGGGGGAAGAGAGGGGGAGCGGGGGTGGAGGTGGGGAAGAGGGAGGGAGAGGGTGAGAGAGGGGATGAGGGAGGGAGAGGGTGAGAGAGGGGATGAGGGAGGGAGAGGGTGAGAGAGGGGATGAGAGAGGGAGAGGGTGAGAGAGGGGATGAGAGGGTGAGGGTGAGAGAGAGGGAGGGGGAGAGAGGGAGAGAGAAGGGGAGAGAGAGAGGGTGGGGTGGATGGGTGGCCTTGTGAAGAGTGTGGAGGGAAAAGCCGCGAAGTCAAGAATATTTGTCCTCTTGCTGGTAGTAATTTCAAGAGCAAGTAAACTAATGCTGGTGGTTGGTGATGAATGAAAACTATGTAATGTGCTTTTTCACCCCTCTGAATGCACAGGGCTTTCTGAGATTCCAACAACAGAGGAAGAGTAGAGTAGTACGCTTGCTCTGACCAAGCTAAATCCAGAGAAGATTCCAGTGATGGCGATGGCGATGGCGATGGCAAAGGTATTGCCATTCCAGAAATTTAAAAACCATGGATTCACCATTTCATAAACCATGAAATTCACTTCAATCTTCTACCTTGAACCGCTTATAAAAACCGATTTCCCTCGAGACCAATTTCCCACACCACATGACTTCACATGGACACCTTCACAGCAATCTTAGTCATCATCGCAGCAACCGGCGTGTCCAAAGAGAAGCTGAAGCTGCAGCCGGAGGCGGGGGGTTGGGCGGGGGTGGCCTGGCCTGGTGGAGCGAAAGCAGAAGAATCAGAGCGAGTGACTTCTTAGGGCCCGCATTCGGTGTGTTGGCCTGATGTGCGCTTTTCACCCGTCATACAGTTGAGTTCTTCTCAGTGTCCATAGTTTAGAAAACGCTTTTTTTGTCTTTTCCTATTTTATAAAATAAATATAAAATATAAAATATGAAATATGAAATGTAAAATAGTTTGAACTATGTTCTAATTTCAGGTGTTTAACTAGTCAGTTAGTAATAATAATATTAACTAAGTTAGTTATTAATAATTTAACTACCTTTTCAACTTTGATTTGAAAAATATATAATACCCTTTCTGCATATTTCATCTTCCATCTCATAGCCCTCTTATTTTATTTTATTTTATGTTCATTTTTTTGTATTTTTTATATAATTTTTTTTATAAAAAAAATAGTGAAAAAACCAAGATAATAATAATTTTTGATGAATTCTACCAATTGAAAGATTCTATGATTTTCTAAGGTGGCTGGGAAAATTCATCTTTTGGTAGTTAATCCATTCTCCACAATAGTCTACTCCGCAAGACTCAGTCCAGGCGGGTGGGTCCAACGGCGGTCCCACAATAATGCAAGGGGACGCGCACACTTCAGCCCTGCTATAACCTGGGATGTCTCTTTCTCTGCACATTGATGAATAGATCACTAGTAACAATAGAGCTGCTTTTATTGAACCATCTATCGATTCGTCTCGATAATCTAATACAAACCCAGTGCCAAACCACAAACCTGGTGGGTTGTAAGAATAAAGTTTACAATTGATACAAGACTTAGAAAATACTATTACATATAAGGTCTCTATTTTTAGTTTTTACATCAAGCTCATAAGCTTTATTATAATATAGTAACTCTAATTCTCACTGATATGAAAAAACAAGATGCTCTAATTCTAGTGCAAATAATTTAGATTGAAATTTGTTTAATTATTTTATCATGATTTTAATAAGTCACTCCGTGAGAATGGGTTCCTTAATAATAAATTACATTATCACATAACTAACCAGTCAATACACTAGTTAAAACCAGTAAATTAATTAAATTAAATAATCATGTATTTAATTTTAGTAACCAACTAAAATGGCCCAACTCGCTTGAGAATTACATTCAAGTTATGATAGTGATGGTTCAGCAAAAGCTGTATGAGCATTATGACAAGATACTTCCTCCTTGAAATTGCATACTACGTACATGAATGTAAGTAAGGCATATTTCTCCGAAAAATAAAACTAACAAAAAAGTTCAGAATTTGCCCCCCTGAACTCTTTTCTGGTCCCTCTTCAAGTCCGGGCTCATGGAAGAGGACAGACCTTCATCAGTTGAACCACTGGATGCCAAAAAGTATATCTAATTTATACCCATATATTAAGCTCTAAAAGCAAAACCACTCTGGGGAAATTGTTGAATGGAATAAATCGAGGCATTTTTTTATTCGGAAGAACCAAAGAATCAGCGAAAAGTGGGCACAAACTGGAATAAAACGCGCAACAATAAAATAATAAAATAAAATTGGGAGACTGGGACGCTCTAAAGACCAGGTTAAATATATTAGTTGGTTCAGAGAGGCGCGAAAGTATTAAATCACTGCCTGAAGAATAAAGCTTTTAAGCATCTTTTCTTTTCCTGATATCCTCGCGCGAGTCTGAATGTGAAACGGATTCATGAAGACAACGCGTCTACCTTTCTCCTGGAGTGCAACGGACTGAGCAGAGGAGATTCCACGAACCTGTTTTTCCTTCTGGCTATTGCTGCTATCCCTTGCCCGCTGGGTCGTTGGACTGGTTACTCCAATCCACACATCATCTCAAATCACATTATATGATATGAGCCGTCTGCCATTGGATGTTCACTATCACACATGCACAGCCTGCATATATCGACGTCGTGATGTGTACCATACTGTATGTACACACATACAACCATACTCTTTCCAAGATTCCTTACCCCTCCGAAGTACCTGATAAACCCCAAAGTGTGCGTCTGTCTACCTGCTGCTCGAATTACGTTACTCAGGATATTGAGCAGAGTAACTACTCCACCTGGATGACATATATCACAGAATTCGCTTTCTGTACCTCTCCGCTCTTCGTTTCCGTTCGCGTGGAAGCTGGAGAGCGGTGATGGTGGCTATCTCTCGCCCCTCCTTTAAGTGTGTACCTCTCTTCGCTCCAAAGATTTCTGACACCATCGGGCGCTGAAACAGCCACCCCAGGATAAATAAATAAACAAATTCATTCGTCCATTACGTAGTGTATCTTCGACTACTTCCTCTCGCGAAATGAAATGGTGTTTGCGACGTGCGCCTTTGTTCTGTGCATCCCTGTAAACTCTTTAAGTGGAGTACAGTAACTTAAGCATATCTCGGAAGGCCCTCCTTTTTCTTTTCTTTTTTTGAAAATTGTTATTTCTGCGTAAAAATGCTATCACCGTGGCGAAAATTCACCGGAGCAGGGTAGGAAACTATACAGTAAAACTTTATAACCGACTAATAGTGAGTTGGCAATTAGGGGGGAACAACAGGTGCCCAACCCGAGTCAGGTCACAGTATTGCGTGTGCTGATACAAATATTTCATACAATAGATAGCTCCTGAAGTAATCGAGAGCCAGCTAGTTCTAATGGACATAGTGGAATGTCAATCTTTAATTCCTACTAGACAAGCTTTATTGAACACACGCTAAATTAATTATAATTATTCGGAAGAAAAGGAAAGCCAAAATATAATAAACGTAAACTGCACTCTTCTCATACAGATTACATTTCACATTGTTATGAGTTTTGAAGGTGTTTAATATGAGTAAAGGTGATAAAAAGAAGATAACTAGGTAGTTACCTGTCACTATAGGATCGAGCCCTAATATAGTTATGCTGATCTCATAACCAACTCCAAAACAGAGATATTCTTAAAAGAGCCAAAGGAGGAGAAATGATTAATGAACAGTTCTTGTGTTTCTGCAGTATGATAGGTGGTAATGAGATATATATGATGCTCTTTAAGTATGTAGGGTATGTATTTACTGATTTATTTCCCTACCCAAATCCTCTTTGCACACTGACTATGTGATTGCAACTCTAGCACTAAAGTCTTGCTTCTTCATTCATTCTCATCCTCACCCATTGTCCTCACTCCCCCAATCCACTGCTGCAACTCTGCCTGATTCACATCTGCTTGATCTGTCCATCTTACATTATCTCCCTCCTCTTCAAATCCTCATAACAATGATCATCTTCATGATGAATGCAAGGTGTTGCTTTAAGGGACATCAGTGCAAGTCATCAACAAGAGTTGCTCTGTCTGCTGGTAGATTTGATAGATGTAACCAGTAAGTTGTTCACCCAGATGATGTAGATGAGCAGATTACAGAGATAAAAATATATACTAAATAATACATGGAACCCACTCCTACAAGCATCTATAATGAATTTACTGGGACAGAAATCAGTCAGCACCATTTGTCATATATTGTGTTAAAATTTAATTCTCTGATATACCAGACTCAAGGTGAACCCTTATCAGATCAAAAAATACAAGAAAAGTGTCTTCTCTTACTGATTTATTTCCCTACCCAAATCCTCTTTGCACACTGACTATGTGATTGCAACTCTAGCACTAAAGTCTTGCTTCTTCATTCATTCCCATCCTCACTCATTGTCCTCACTCCCCTGATCCACTGCTGCAACTCTGCTCAATTCACATCTGCTTGATCTGTCCATCTTACATTATCTCTCTCCTCCTCAAATCCTCATAACAATGATCATCTTCATGATGAGTGCAAGGTGTTGCTTTAAGGGACATCAGCACAAGTCATCAACAAGAGTTGCTCTGTCCACTGGTAGATTCAGTAGATGTAACCAGTAAGTTGTTCACCCAGATGATGTAGATGAGCAGATTACAGAGATAAAAATATATACTAAATAATACATGGAACCCACTCCTACAAGCATCTATAATGAATTTACTGGGACAGAAATCAGTCAGCACCATTTGTCATATATCATGTTAAAATTTAATTCTCTGATATACCAGACTCAAGGCGAACCCTTATCAGATCAAAAAATACAAGAAAAGTGTCTTCTCTTAAGGTTTTAGTATTCCTGACAACTACAGGCTCAAAATGAAAAACGGTAATGTCAGTAACCGCACCATGCAACCCCCGCCGATCGTGTATGAGCAAAATGAAACATGCATGCAGAAACGCCTATATGAGTGGTATAGTGAGACCCAATGCACTATCTCCGTAAAGGTAAAGAGAAAAGGGTTTCGAAGCCCGCGTTCCAAGCGCATACTGGTTGCTCGTTTCGAGGGTGGGAAAAGGTAAATTGGGTTAAAGATATGCGATGAAGAGGGGTTGTGATGAGAGACACAAACTTCAAAGAGAAATAAGAACGGGTCCACGGCAATTTCAAGCCGAAGACAAGAAGAAAAAAGAAAATAAAAGAGGTTTCGAGGGTGTATCGTTCAGGATACGGCCACTTGAAGACGGAATATGTGACAGAAGAATAAAAAGTTGGTGTCGTGGGAGGAAGGGGGGGGGGGTGCACGAAACACAGGATAAAGGAGAAATCTTTGCCTTGATGGATCGAACGGTTTGGTTAGATCTGCCCTTTTATATCGACCACCTTATGAGCTTCCGTTTTCGCCAATTGGAAAACCTGTCCAGCTTTTCCGGTAAGGAGCTTAACCCCATCAGGTTTCTCCTGGAGCAAATCCTCTTGGGCATGGTCTAATATAAATCGGGCGGCCTGTTCATCGGACTCAAAGCCAAGTTCCTCAGTGATGAATCTTATCTTTACGTCAGGTTTATACCTAATGTAAGCAGTTAGAATAGCTTGAACCAGCATTATAAGAAGAGGGAAAGAGACCCCTACGCTCTACAAATGCATGCGAGTGCAGCAAGGCGCTCCCGGTCAACGAACATATCCATGAGATATGCACCCATATTTGGGGTGTCCAAATAAAGTTGAAAGAATCGATGGTAATTCCCCAATGCCAAAGCCGATCGAACATCGAGGGCGTGTTTCACAGCGGGATCCAGTTTGTCTGCGGTAGTTAGATCTGCCAGGGCATCGTTGATGGCTGTCCGGTTGCGAGTGTGGATAAAATATAGGATACGATATGCCTTGAACTCCATGGGATGTCCTCCAATGTTCTGCGAATACAATGCCCGCAGTTGCGTTTGGCATTGATTATACTCACCAAGGTCCCCTTTTTCCAGCGCAATCCGGGCGTGTATTTCATAAACGTTCACTGTAAACTCATTTTTGATGTGCTGCACGGTCAAATCCTGGCGCATAGACTTGAACTGATCGCAAACATAGGTATAGTTATTCTCGAGACGCCACTTTTTCTTCAACAAATCCAGCATTTTCTGCAGCACGGGCAAAGGACGAACAGCATCAGGATTGGGGGCAGAAGTTAAACGAAAATAGTTCTTCTCCAATGTCTGACAACGTCCGATGATGGGCCCTCCGCCCACATCTGGTGATTCATCTCGAGAAGAACTGCCGGTCTGAGATGACTGGTATCCCGAATGCGGATGCTCAAAGCGTCGTTTTCGCAGCTCCAGATTATATTTGAACTTACTTGAATTTTTGCTGTTGATGTTATTGTTGTTATCTATCCGTCGCCGTTTATCAACTGTAGAAGGGTAACTAATGCGGTCTTCAAAACCATTTCGTGTGTTAGTTTTTCTCCAAGGAGGGGTGTTATCCATCTCATCATTTCCTGCACTAAATTCTGCCGATTTCCTTTTCTTTGGGGGTTCTTCCTTTGTTTTCTTTTGTTTCTGTGAACCATTTTCTTGTGACTTCGTACCCCAAATGGACTGTGAAGAAGGTACAGAAGTGAGAGTATTATTCCGTTCATTCAAGATCATCTGTTGCGGCAACGGCAAGTTGTCCCAGTCGACGGTATGCAGATTACCACTTTCTGCAGCCTCTGTGATAACTTGCTTGAGCTTCCGTTCCATTTCCAACCGGCTAACATTTGCGATCTGGAACTCAGGAACAAAGCTGCGCTGTACATACTGGCGGACGGCTGGTGGCCAGTCAATTTTGGACTTCCCGGACTGGGAATCTGCCGATTTTGGTGCTGACGATTCTCCTTGGTCCGGTATAGCCGTAGCCGTAGCCGTAGCCGTGGATTCAGAAGAATGATGGGTGAGAGTGCGTTGTGCCTGGACCTGGGTATACGCAGGAGACACTACAGCAGATTTTCAGTTAGCAATTACCAACGTTATTTAATTAAAAAGGACATTAAATAGGACATTATATTGACCAAAACTCACTACTTGATGAATACACGGGCGTAGCCGTGGCTCGCCATGGCGGTGGAGCTGTACTCATGACGGAAAAAGAGGCAGAAGATCAAGATCCGGCAGCAAAGGATGGTGATTACGAAGACAAGTATAGGATGATGGCGATGGTCAATAGGTGCTAGGTGGAAACAAAGTCAAGGAAAAGGAAGACCAGCACACAATGTTGTGGGTGCGTTTCCTTTTCTTCTAAGTGAAAGGAATATATGAAATGGGAGAAAGAGAGCAGATATACGCAGGACGTAGATGAAGAAGGGTATATTACAGCGGTTAAAGGTGATAAAAAGAAAAGAAAAGATGATGTCGCGAAAGGTGATGTCCTGATGACTTTGACACGCGATACGGAGAAGCTGGGCGGAAGGTGAGGCGTGTTCGCTTAGATTCCCGTTTTGGGTGCCTGACACGTTTGTCCCCGTGGACAAAGGCGGTGACAGAGTGTGGCTCCTGTCGGTGTCACATGATATCCGATTATATAATCTATGTCTGTAAACTTGGCGACCAATTCCTGAATCATACAGATATGGTGACAACAACGATGATGATAGCTAAATAGAATGACTGTGAGAAGCTTCTGAGGTTTGGTTATAACTTACTCATCGCATTTCGCTTTTCTCCTTGAATGGAGTAGTTCTGTCAGTGGTTGGCTCCAAAATGATGCGCATGTCCTCACCTTTCTCTCACTGGGCGTGGCTAGATGTTCTTCAACGCGTTGGATCTTACGACTGCCCTCCGCCCGTCTCTATTGCCAGATGAGACTCTTCTCTTTGTGCAGGATCAGGTGGGACTGTATGAAGGGTAAGATTTGAATGCCCTTGTCGAAATCCCCAAGACCCTTGGCTGGGTCATACTTACCTACTCTACTCCTCCGCGCCAGGGCTAATTTCATAACCCGCTAACCGCTATATAGGAAATACAAAATTCCAAATTACCAATCTGGCCATGCCTATCTCACGTCGCATCGCATATGCTATGTCGACAGCGATCAGCCTCGAAAATACTCTGTTGCCCTTGAGTTGAAATATGTCGATCGCGTTGAATATCAAGTATGCGTCCCCCTAAGTCCCAGTTAACATGGGCGTATGTTGTCAGACTCTGACTTGAATCACTTAACAGGCAGGCTTCTTAAAGTCGTCGCCCAAGATAACGATATATCCAAAGCCGTCGAAAAGAGTACTCGGTCAAAATAGCAACGGCCCTGGCAGTTCGATTACCCCACAAGCAGCGAGGTCTGGTTCTCCAGGCAGTCCATCGTCACCCTTTCGCCGGAGTGGCAGTCCATTCAACTCTTCAGCCACTCTTTCTGTGAGAACACCGAACGCAACTTGGGTTTGTCCAATATGTTCATTCTCAAATCCAGTTCCATCGAATTTTAACCCTGCAACGGCGAACGCTTCAATGACACTGCCTTCATGTCTGGCTTGCGGTATAAAACCTCCCTTCACTACGATTTTGAAAGCAGCAATAACATCAGCATCAGCATCTAGTCGTGGAGGAACGAGCACTGTTTCTGTGCATCCTTCGCCGCTAGGCAGCCAGTATGATCCTGTTAGAATCGGAAGTAATGGAGATTATCTACCCAGCTTCAACCGATTCCAGAATCCTCCTTCGTCAACGGATTCGGGTATATCTTGCCCAAGATGTACCTTTTCGAACCACCCTTCCCTCTTATATTGTGAAATATGCGGTGGACCTCTCCAAAGAGGTGATCACACGACCAGCAGTCAAACCCCGGATCGCTCGGACTCACCAGCGCCATTATTTGCAACCTCAAACTTAGATAATACCGAAGTATATGAAAATGTCAAGCTATCCTTCCGTGGAGGTGGTGAGAAGATATTTCATGAAAGGCTCAGAAGCGCTTTGGT